GTGATGTTGCCATAGGTAGGGATGTAGATGGACCAGTAAATCGACAACTTTGCCTTTTCACACTCTATGACACTATAACAGACTGGCACCAGTGCCTTGCCCATCTAGGCTCCAACTCCACTATTCCCCTGTATACTCATGACATCAAAAATCTGGGACAAAGCAACCCATAGTGTGTAGTCTACCCTTTTATTTAAGCTCAGAATCCATGGGCTCCATCATGAAGGTGATAATTCTCATCTCTCCTGCTTTGGCTCCACTATGAGCTGGACTTCACGAGTCGGTGATGCCAGAATGACCATATCATTCATGCAAAGTCACCAAACTGGAAAACCTGGGTCTGACACAAATTAGCCAGTTGGAATGACCACGTGTATCTGCAGCCCATTTTTATTCATTAATATTTGTTTCCTTGTATTTCTACATTTTATGTAGAAAGTACAGACTTAACATGAGCCATAGAGCAACAACATCCACATTAATAGCCAAATTGCGTCAGGTACAAATAACCTGGAATCATCCTGTAAGTCAGCAGCTCATCTCTAATCTTGTCTCTCTGCTATCGATTTCCTCATATTGTCCTCGCTTTTATTTTTTAGGAATTTTGTCTGACTGGGTTTGAACACTTCTTTGATGTTTATTCATCGTGCACATCGTTGTATTTGCATTCCTCCATTCTTCTACCAGTTGTATTCCTGTCTTCCTCTCTGTCTGCTGCATTAGAAAACTTTATTTGTACTGAAAATGAAAGGATGAAGAGCACAACGTCTTCACAATGAGGACACATTATGCATCCTGTGTGCTCATACAATCAGCGTCAAATGGTGGACACAACATGCACACCTGTCATTACACACACACACGGTCATGGAATTATGAATGTGACTGCAGGTGCATTTATTTATTCTATCAGATTGCAATTTAGCACAGATTAAAGATAATAGGTTAAAGTGTGTAATTCTCTGAGCCTCTGACTGATATAGCTACACCTTATCAACTGGCCTGGCATTTAGCATGGTGAATGAGGGTAAGCACGCTAATGTGTGAACACATATGCAACAGAGCTGCCAGTTTGATGGGGATAACAATCTATCTTTGTGTGGCTTGATTACTCTGTTTTTGTTACTACTCTAGTCTCAATTGGCCCTTCCTGTGTGTGAGCGTGTAGTGGGTAATGACTCGGATGTGGGTGTCATCCTGTAAAATCTCATGACTGCAGCAATCTGCAACAGGCAGTTGCACTGCATAATTGACCATGCAATCACTTCTCATGGGCAGTCTTAATCTGGATGTAATAGCTGCTCATCACAGCTCTATTAACCCCTTTTTCCATATAGCTTTTTGATGAGGGTGATGTCTAAACATTCTCACACACATCATGCAGAAGCAATGTCACCCAGGTCGAGATAAGACCCCACAGACAGACATTATGAACTCCAGGGCCATTTCACACACTCACTCCCCCAGAGCAGGGGATTGCATAACAGCTGATAATTTATTTTCTATTGTTTGTGCAGAGTGCTTTGGAGAGGTCACTTGCCTTTTTTAACTGATGCGCGTACATCCGGTTATACCTGCTCGATTCTGATAGCAATTCTTTAACATTTATTTCCATCCAAAAAGCAAATGCACACTGTCAAAAAGATTTCTGTCTCTTTTGAGCCTCCTAAGTGTTCTTTTATAGCAGCCATTTGTCATTTCACCTCTGTTGCCAGCATGCATTTGCTGAAGTTTCATGAATACTTCATGGCTGCTAGTTGAAAACAGTTTATCGTCTAGCTAGAGTGTCTGTGTACATTGACTCGCAGTGCAGAGAGGCTATACTGTGATAAATGGGGTTCCAACCTTTGAGGTCAGAAGGTAACCGCTATAAATGTGAGAGCCTGTCTGAATGTCCATCTCTGTGAAAAATCAGCCTGCCTGGAGCCCAACTCCGATCAGATAAGTGGGAAACAGCAAACAGAAAGCGGTGGGGGGTACACTCGCATTAGCCTAAATTGTTCTCTACTACAAAACAGTGTTCATATTATCATCCTGCTGTTTATGGGCCCACCACAAGATTCCATGTATATATTCTGGAATAGAGCAGGCGTCAGTGGCACCAGACATAACACAGATTAAGTTGGAAAAAGCCTGAATAGCATCAAATGGAAGATCTGTTTGGTAGTAACCCACTGCACTCATGGTGTCACACCTCTAAGAGAAGAACTATTAAGCTGTCACATTCCATTAAACATGTGCAGGATAAGAAAAAGACTTTTCAGGCATTTGTGACAAACTGAAGTTAATATTTAGAGTGTAAGACAACACCAAGAACAGACAATATAGAGTACACGGCTGTAATGTGAGTTGGCCTAATACTCTGCAGACAAAAACTCCTTAGCTGAAGTATTACTCTACCCTACTGACGTATCCACTTGCTAATACATGTTATGGATAATGTGCATGTGCCAGCACTTGTCTTTTGACTTCTGTCCAATATGATCATTAACCTCTGCCTGTGGATCATTTTGCATGTC